TTTTAACAGATTCTAGTTTCATAATAATATTTATTTTTAAAATAAAAAATTTAGACTATTATTAAATTAAAATTTGATCTATAATGTATTGATCAATTATTGGCGGCCGGTGGTAATTTCGGTTGATACTGGGCAGTCCAATTTAAATATGTGTATTTTGCATATATGAATTCTGACATTTCACATAGGAAAATCGCTCTTCTTCTGTTTTCAACTTAAATGGTCTTACGTATAATTAAATATTCGTTTATCATAAAGGATAAATGCTACTATGGCAGAGGAACGTCCCTTTTAAGAAAAGAAAATTCCGTAAAGTAGCTAATAACTTCGATTTATTTGTAAATGCATAATATTGTAGTAAACTTGATGTAGTTACTTCAATTGATTGATCTAAGTTCATAAAATGAACTGCAATCAGTTTTCAAGTCTTTTTAATTTTACTCTGATCTTACGTTAATTATTTTCTTGAGTACAAATGAAAATTCACAATGAATTATTCTTGTGAATAATAATTTCACTGCCTGTGAACTTATCATTGACAAGAAAACATAATATTTTGTTGCTGAAAAGTACAAATATTTCCTCCATTTAAATTTCAATTCAAATATAATAAAATGTCTTCCTGGATTTTTCTTAAATCTTTAATTTTATGTTGTCTATTTTTTCTTCTATACTTTAATAATTTTTGAATTAATTATAAAAATAAAACAAAAATAATTAATACCTTAAATTATTATAAACTGAACAATTTTACACCACATATAGGAGATTTATTATGGAATTGTATTTAAAGTATACATACTTGTACACGTATAATATAACAATATTGTGAATTGACGTGACTGCATAGTCATATTAGCACAGTATTTAATTAGAGCATTCTTTTATACCTGATTAAATATGGAGTAGGCTAATAATAAATTTAAAAAGCTTTAATTTTCTTTAAAATAATTTGTAAGTAATATTTCTTTGTATGTGGATTATATAAATGCCAATATTTATTTAATTAGAATGGAATTTAAAGTTTAAATATTCTAAAATTTAAAAAACATTTCCTGGTTTAATCTATTTTTTTTATTGTGCTGTTATACAAACTATAATTTAATTAAAAACATTAGAAAAAAGAACAAGAATGTAGAAGGGCGTGCTTGTATTTTTTTTATTATTTTTTACAAATTGGAACTGTGGTTATGGTTATGCATTAACTAAGATCAATTTAAAAAAAATTCTGTTCAAGAATTAAAAAAAAAAAATAATTTATTATTTTTAAGAATTTACAGTTTTTATAATAGATGGAAACTTTACTAGTTAATTTATACTGCAGTATATTTCAAAATGACAAAAATAGTTTCATAGTTTTTCTCTGCATCAATATACCCCTGTGGAAGAAAAATAAGGAAACAACTTTTTCGCAGTTTTTTTTTCGCATACATTGTTTCTAATTACTTATACACATTTGATTGCCTTTTTCGACTTGATTTTTAAGTTTTGTCCTATTTTCATCATTTTGTGAGATACGACCGCATAGCTTTGAAGCGATGTAATATTTAGATAAAAAAAGATTATGTAGCTACCGCAAGCGGCACTGCATGCGTAATTTTTTTTTGTAATATTGTGAATATAATGAATGTCAAATATGATTCAGTTTAATTGTACTGTAAGTTAAGTTTAATGCTAAATTGTTCACTCAGAGTTTTAAATTAAATAATATCATAAATTAATTCCTAAAATCAACTAATAAAAATATTAATTAGCAAATGAATACCAGCATTATTGACTTTAAATAAACGAATACTTTAGAATTGTTCAAGAGGTACTTGACTTTTTAGTAAGAATTTTCCTTTTAAATTACCTTCAAATGTATGTTCAAATGTTTTTATATTACAGTTACTCAAAACTTATACTGAATTCCATAAAATTTTGAATTACAATCATCATCAGAATTGCAAATTTTGAATTGTAATTGCAATTGTACATTTTTGGCCGATCTATTCAAGAAATCAGAAATATCAACATTTTTCATAAACGTTACCATTCCATTAATCTTCAAATTAACATAAACCTTACATACATATATATACATGAGTGTAAAATTCACATACATACATATGTATGTACCTACCAAAAGACGCCATAAATTATTTATATTCCAACATAAACTATATTTACAGCTATTAATCAATTTTAGTGTTTTCTGTTTTTTGCTTTAAATACTTTATGCAATAGCATGCATTTTTTTCACCTTTAATTAAATTTGATTTTGCATAAAATTTTTTGTTCATAGAATAAATTATTAAAATGTAAATTAATCTTGAATGAATTTTCTAGTGTAATCTCATATACATACATATGTACGTACGTGTGTATATAAGAGAATAGTGCATATTTGCTTTAAAAATATCAAAATTGTGTCATATACTTATTAAAAGTAATCACGATTCGGATTCATATTCGATAGGTACTATTGAATTGCATTCTTTTATGAGATTTGTATTATATGAACTATAAAATAATGCACAAACATATACATATACATATGTACATGCCTACTACACAAGACAATTATTTGGATTTTAATCTTATAAACCTTACCTGTGTTTTTCTTGTAAAATTTATAATGAAAAAAATTTAATCGAGCAATAAAGCGATAAAGTGATCTTTTAAAAGCCGTGATATTTTGTAACTTGAATGTATATATATACAGGTAAGTGTATCAATTTTAAAGTATGTATAGCACATTTTAGAAAAAAATTTATTATTGCATAAATTAAATGCAATTTTTATAACGCATTTTTGAATATAAAAATAACAATTTGTCACAAGATTTTTTAATAGTATCTAAAGTTAAAATTTTTATATTTGTATAATATTGTACTTTGAATAATTTTCGGTTCTATTGAATGTAATAAAGGTATACGATATATAGATTATGAATTGTTATGCATACGTACGAAGAGAACTGTCGTGGAACACATATGTATAGTTTGGTGTAGATGAAAGATTTATATTAAAGGTGGAAATTGGTTTAAAGATTTGTAATAAAATTTTTAGAATTTGTTTGTGTATAGTATAATATAGAAGTTCAAGATTAAACGGACCTAAAAATTATTTTCATTCTAGATTGAAGAGATCTAATAATTATTTTAGCACGCGAGTTATTCTTTTATTTAAATAAGTTGTCTAGTGACTATATCTATGGCTGCGAAAGACATTAAAAATTTCGATCAAATTACATGTTTTAGCCTATGCACAATTTATAATCAACATTTGAGTAAATTTTGCAGATTTATCACAAAACTGAATGTTTTTTGTTTTGAATCGATCTAAATATCAATTTAAATTTAAATTAAATTGTCAATCTTTAAGTTCTTTCTGAGCTTTAAAATTTTAAGTAGTTGCAAATAAATAAAATGGTAAATAAATTGAATATAACTGTTTATTTGTTAATTTTGAATAACAAATATTTTACTCAATTGAATTCTAAAATATGAATTATTAATACACAAAAAAACACACATGTATGTACTTATGTGAAAATATGAGTATATTTTCATATTTTGAATGATTAAAATATTTTGACAGATTATTGTTTTTAAGTGTTCACTTCATTAAATGTCATATTTAGATTAAAATCAACCAATTTGAATTGAGAGTAAAATTAAAAATCGTGATTTATTTTCTGTAGACTTCTCATACAAGTAGTAGAAAGATTTAAATTTTAAAAAATAAAAGTATTCAAATTGTTCAAGATAATTGCATTTCATGTCAATGCTAATGAAAAGTTGCCGCTGTATTATTATGTACATATATGTACATTCTAGCGATGGGAGTGAAAAAGTCAGAATTGCATACACGCTTTATTAATATAGGTATTCTTTTGCATATACCTACTCGTGTATTTCACATATTTTGCATATAACATTTTTGTTTTTATATAAAATTAACATAAGAAATTGATTTATTATTTCTATGGAATTTATTCTCATTCTAATTTTAAAATTATTTGAAATTTGTAGGTATGTTTGTAATAAATATTCAAATATATACGACAAAGATTCGTATTGTAAGCGGCCTTAGAGTAAATTATACCAAAATAATGATTTGGATTTTAATTTGTAAAAATGCAGACATTTAGTTAATTTAAGTAAAGTTCACATTATAAACTTGTGTATGAATTTATAAAACATAGAAGTGAAATTGTAATGATTGCTTTTTAAAAATATTCTAATGCTAACATTACTCTCTAATTCGTTTCATTTTCCAATATTCTCCTTTAATTCATTGAATCTTAAACAGTTATTTGCCATATTTTACAAAACTATCGAAAACAGGATACACACTCTATTTCTTTAAGCTATGTTATACAGTATTAAAAAAAGTTTAATTGAAATTTTAAGATCCTTATCACAAAACTGTAAGTTTTTTTTAGGGCGTTCTATTAAGGCCTTACAGTTTGCTTAACAATATTCAATATTCTCCATTTTTAAAATATTTCAGTGAAAAATTTTTTGAAGATTTTATTTTGCAAGAGAACTTATTTCTAAAATTTGTGTGTTAGGGTTAAAATTACAAAGTTTTTATGTAAAAATGTTATGAAACACAAAAATTTTTCTAATCAGTTTATGTAATATTTACAGCTACAGCTGTTAGTTACGCAGCTATTATGTAATATATTCAATATTAAAAATATTAGGACGCTTATGTTCCTACACTCATAAATGTTTATTATACGATAAAATACCACTATTTTCAATAATATTACTTATAAGAATTTCGTAAATTACGTAACTCACGTTTTTCAACTAAATGAACACTAAAATATTTAAAATCTTTAAGTTGGAAGAATTTTCAAGTGTCATTAAGATTTTTATTAGGAATGAAATTAAGCACCTACCTAATAGTGTACGTGTGTGGTTTTTTTTTTTTTACAATTATTAAACAAAATTTATAAATTTACACACAAAAAAAGAAAAAAAGTGAAAAATATATTGCGAACTTACCTTGAGCATAATTTAATCGCTGATTGATAAACCGATATAATGCTTATTAAAAAATGTAAAGCTAATGCAAATATTAACCCACAACCGGCTGATACAGCAGCTTCAGCATTCATTAAATTAAACTGAAAAAAAAAAAAAAATATAAAAATTAATTTTATGGAAAAAAAATTGTAAAAATTAAAATATTAAAAAAATTTTAAAATCATCGTGATATCATCAGAATTTTGGTGTGAAAGTTTTTGGAATGAATGTTGGTACTTAAATGGTAATAATATTATATGTTAATTTAATTTTACGATTAATAAGGTACTCCTACCTCAGTAGTAAAATTAAAGATTAAATTTACTGTAAGAAATTCGTTTTTATTATTTTAGAAGAAGACCTCGCAAATGATTCGCTAGAACTGTGCAAATTCCTTGCGCCAATAATTGCTTATTTTGTCAGTTTTCAAAATTCCCATGCTATCTATACGCACTTTTGTTAACATCAAATTTTAAATAGTCTTAACAATAAATAAACATTTTGGAGCCATTGCTAGAATAAATTTTTAATTTTCAAAATTAAAGATATCGTAGATTTACAGTTAATTCCGAATATTTAAAAGCACAGTTTTAGGAAATTAACTTAAGAAATTCTGGAAGGTGCAAAAATCATCACAATAGATAAAACTCGCAAGAACAACACTTTCCAACCTTGAAGCATTGTAATAAAATTTCATTTTATATTATCCCGTATTTTTTTTTAAAAATTTCATTTTTGTTATTGCTGAAAGCATTTTCAGACAGTTCAAACAGACTAAAATGCATTTGAAAGACCGTTTCTTTTTCTAAAACAATAAAGCTTATTTTATTCTTTAAATATTGAAAAAAAAATTATTTATTTTGTCCTCAAATGAAAAATTTTTTATGATATTTTTATGTATTTTAATATATTTGCCTTCGAAGGTCGAATAAATTTTTTAAAATTTTATGATGAAAATTCGATGAAAATGGAAATTTATTCTAAAAATGTAAAAACCAAAATAAGAGATCATATCAATACAGCAATTATACGAGTATTTGCTATTTTTTAATTAATTTTAAAAATCTTCATTAATTTTGAAAATTTTATACAATTGATAAAAAGATTTAAGAATCAAGATAGTCAAAATATATAGTCATTATATTTATCAGTTTAGGAAATTTATTACTAAGACATTATTTACTTTATTATGGTTATTCGTAATTCAGTATAGATTTCGATCTCAAAAGTTTAGCAGTGAGAAACAATTGAAAATTCATTTTTAATTTTCAATTGTCGTTTAGTAAACAAATTCTTAAATTCTATTTGTCAAAATTTAGTAAAATATGATGGGTCTTTTACGCCTTCTGAATCAAAATTTGGTAAATTATTGTTTTCTAAACCCATTCAGTTTACACAAATATTTTAATTTCAAAACGAATCTTTTTATTTCTTGCAATGTTTTGCTAAAGTCGATTAAAAATACGATAAAACTGAAAACCTCAACATCTCTTATACTTAATAAATATATGAATATACGATAAGAATCAATTTTCGCTTGTAAGTACACAACATTCCCGAAAATTGGAGAATAATCTGCAATTGAAATTGTATTGTTAAATATCCCAAAAATCAAGTTGACGTTGGTATGTGGTAATCCAATTGATGTTGGGCTTCGTTTAAGAGGGAATTTTTTTGCACCATCAAAAAATTTTTTGAAGACAACTATATCAACTATGTGTGTCTACAAGTCAGTCGAAATTCAGAAAATCCATGTTATTGTATTAATATTATTTCGGACCTCAGTTATATTCAAAAATAAATTATGCTTTTACGTTCAAGCTCTTATATAAGTATAAAATTTACTGTCGTATGCGAAAAATTTAATCACATTGTAAATTAAAAATTAAAGAACTATTTGAATATATTCGAGTTTGAAAAAAATATCAATAAAAAATATTTCAATAAATAACATTATTGAGGTCATGGAAGATAACATTTTTAGAGGAATTTAGAATAATGCACCATAATGCACCATGATGCTTCGTAATGCACCTTATTTTGAGCTTTTTTTATATTCTGAAGAATATCTTTTTTGTTGGATCATCTTTGTATTGTAATAAATTCAATATATGTGAGCATATTCCCGCATGTAATCAGTTCGATTTTACGTAATTTTAAACAAATATTTTTTGATGTCATTTTTAATTATTATTTTATTAGAAAAATTAAAATAAACCTTTATTATAATTAATTACCAATTAAAAATGTTGGTAAATTTTATTATTTTATTTTGAATACCCAACAGAAATATTTATAAACACCAGTTTCATAATAAACTAAAGAGATAAATTTTATTTAAAAATTATGTATGTTGTTTGCACACCAGATTATTAATCAATAATCACATATCGTAACTATAAAGAAGCGAGTTAATTTGATTACAAAATTTAAAAATTTTGATTTTTAGAAATAATTTTTAACTAAATTATGAAGGTTATCTTTAATTATAATAAAATTATATAAAATTATAATTTGTAAAAGTAACAAATCTACTACAGTAAATTTAAAAAAAACTCCATCAATTATAATAATTGAAATTTGATTTTTACTTGTATAAATTAAGTGTTTACACTTTAAATGATTGTAATAATTAACTATATTTTATTATGAAATATCTGAATAGCTTGTTATTATGAAAAGTTCATTATAAAATATTTTGGAACTAAACCTTAAAATTCACAACGCATTTTCTATATTAACATTTTAGAACATTTGATTAATTATTCTAGGATTAAAATTTCTGATACTTGTCTGAAGGTAAACTACAAACATTATTAAATTTTAAAAGAAGAAATTAAAATATTTGTATAATTTATTTTTCTCAATTTAAATTTCAGTGTTTTTAATAAATTTGTGTTTGACATCAAAGCTCAGAATATAAGAACATTAATTAAATATTTTGTTTGGTATTCCAAGGGGTTTAAGTTTAAGTAACGATTTACAATTCATGTACAATAGAATAATTTTTTTTTTTAATAACTAACTTTTTTTGAAAAATAACAATATTTTGTTATATAGGTTTCGATCTCAATATAATAGAGAAGTTGTCTATGGTTTTTTAACTTATTCTTGAATTTCCTTTTTTAATTTTTAGGTTAAGAAATGCACAAGTTTTAAGAAAGTTTTAAATCTAATAATTCACAATTTCAATAATTCACAATTTAAAATTACATAATTCAAATTACATTTTTCTCATAATATGAGCTAGATATTCAATATTTTAAACAAAACCTCACAATTGCATAGTAAAATTTTATGTCATAATCGAATATGAAATTTTTTTTTTTATACTTTACTTATATAAGAAATTTAATTATGTTCTCCGATTTTTTTTTTATGTACTTTACAATCATATTGTAATTTGTAGCGACTGATAAATTTTTCATCTTTTGTTATTAGACTTTGAAATAATTTTGTTACAAGAATGCAAAAAAAAACCCATAATAATAACAAATGAAATTTAAATTTACAAAAGATTTAAAAATAATGAAAAGAATGAAAACAAATGTATGTGAACTCGCCTTAAAACAAGTTGAACAATAGATTGTATTTGAGAAGATAAAGAAACAAGTAAAAATTTTTTATAAAAGAACGGTAATTTAATTGTTATAATATAAAAGTAAAGAAATTATGCAACAATTTCGCTTACTTTGAAAAATAATAAAAGTTAAGGAATTTAAATTTAAAAATTTTTTATTTTATAGTTCGTGTAAACACTTATGAAATAACTCGGTAATATAAATGCTTTTAGAAAATATTTCAAGGACAGAATGTGTGCGTTTTTTCTAAATTAGTCGATCGAGTGTTTTAACATAATATTGAAGAGTAAAAATGTAACTATTTAAAGGAGCCGATCATGTATTAAAATATTGATAATAGTAAGTTGCATGGCAGTTATATTTGATTTATTAAGGCACTGTGCCGATGTGCAAGTATTATTTTGAATCCTATTTGAAATCAAAAGGATTAATTACCAGTGCGGTTAAGGCAGAATCGCTTTCGCAAGAAAATGATAAAAAGTAAATTCTTGAATTGTCCTTATTGTAAAACAAACAGGTTGAAAGAAGTTTAAAGCTTTATTTGCTGGATAAATTATATATATTATATAGGAAACCAAATCTGATTACAATAAATTTCGATTACTCACTTGGAAATTGCAAATTGGCATTTCTGCATTGTTTTCATATTGTAAATTTATTTTCAATTCACAATATTTATTCCATAAAATAATTCATTCAATATTCAAATATATTTTTTTTGTATTCAGAAAACATTATAAACGACAATTTGTTTTTGAAATATTGAAAGTACAAGTTTTTTTTTTTAATAATAATTGATTTATCACACTAACAAAGCCATTAAAAAAAACTTGTTAAATATTAGTTAAATTACGAGTATAAAATAATTCGAACATAATTTTAAATTTTCAATAATTTCAACTACAATTTAACATTTAATTAATATTATGGTCTCAACTCTCAACATATGCCTGTATAAATTTTTTTTTTCTTCAATAACCTTAAAATTAATTGTAACTAACCTTAATTAAATCAGATATTAAATTTGTCGTGTACTTACTTATATTTTAAAATTATATGCACATGTATATAGGTTTGTGTCTATGAAGTATAAAATGTATATGTACCAGTGTTTCATAAACATATTGTTATCAATTAATACTAAATTAATATTATTGTGATGTAATAGAAATGTTGTATAACAAATTGAGTGATTTGTACTACTCCAAATCTTCAAAATCACATTTAACTATGATGAGTGAAAGAGTGAGGCCATTGTGTTGATATTAATTTCGTGGAGTTTGCAAATGAGTGGTTTGTGTTTTGTAAATAATTTGTAATTTTTGTGAATGGCACGTTTTTTTGCAACGAAATTAACTATAACACAAATAGATATGAATTCAAATATTAAGAATTTGACATTTATTTTACATAGTGACACCGTGGACGACACTTGCCGAAAGAAATTTTGTATAAGCATGTAATAAATTCCCTACAACTCGCAACTTATTTCTGCGTATATATTCTCTTAAAATCATTGATCACAAAATTTCTTAAAAATAATATTGAGAAGAACTGATTAAATACAAAAAAAATACGTTAATAAAAAACTTACACTTTCTTTTGACCCCATTTCGAGTTGAAAAGAATGTAAAAAAAAAAAACTAGTAAAACAAATCATTTTGTTTCCACCTCGGGTACAATTGATTTTTTTTTTGTGCGCGTTTGCCTACTTTTTTTTTTTAATTTTATTTGAATAATAATTATTTCGAGAAAAAAAGAATGTTGAAGTTTAGTTGCAACCGTTGATTTTTTTTTGTAAAACTGTGAAACGCACAAAAAAATTGAATTTGTTATTTTTTTTTGTTGATGCTTGTAAAATAAAGCTTAGCTTATTGGCATATTTGTTATAAGCTGGCATTACAATATAGTTATAGTGGCAACAGCCAATTGTTGTTGACAGCTTTATTCATTTATTCTATACACATAAAATATTGACAATTAAAGGTAAACCATATAAATTGAGAAAAAAAATTAAGAGATCAAAAAAAAAAATCAGAAATTTAGTAAAAAACGTTTTGAAAAGAAATCCTCCTTGAAGTCACTTTACAAAGACCCAAACACACAGAAACATTTAAAGGTTAAAATTGTTTGGGTTTTTGTTCAGTGGTGGAATAGTTGATGAAGTGAGTATAGTCACAAATAAAATACATTTTATTGCAAAATTAGTTATACGGTAAATACAGATTTGATATTTGAATTCACGATAAAAATTTTTTTAACATATCGTAATGAAATTTTACATATATTGCGGCTTATTTTGAGTATCGAATCACTTAGTGAGAGTGATATCATAAAAGTTTCGAAAATTTTATTATAGACCCGAATCATTTGTATGAATTGATTTGTGTTTATAATAAAAATATCGAACTTCTTACGATAATTATCACTATGATTTAGTAATTCGATTCCCACAATTGGACATTGTTGTTTTGGGTTACGAAACTTAAATGGTTAAAATATTAACTGTTTCCCGCTATTTTATAGAATATTTTCTAACTATTACTCTAACTTTTGTTTTTTGCTTTGTCAACTTGTTGTACGTGCGCCTTATTACTACTTTACTGATTTTCTTTTCAAATAAATTTTGGTAAGAATTAAATGTCATATTAAAGAATTTTTTTCAAAGATAAAAATTTTTTTAATTTTCATCAAAATTTTTTAATTTTTCTTTTTTGTTTTATTTATCGACAATTTTGATGATAAAGCAAATTTTAAAAGAATGAAAAAATTTTTTTTTTTTACTATGTATTTTCAATGACATAATGAAGGAGGTGCAGTAATCTATTGTGAATAAAAAATGAAATATAGTTTATAGAATATTCGATTGTATCAATTTCGAAAGGAGTATAGAAGAATTCATAAATATGACTGTTTACACAACAACTTTTGTATCAATGGTTGGCATACGTTTCGTCCATTTCACTTGCTAACAATCAATGAATGTCATGAAATTTGTTTGTGGCGGTTATAGTCATATTTTTTGCTAAAAATTTTAAGTTTTTAACATACATAGTTAGAATTTTTTTCATTTTTCATATTTCATATTTTTATAGTTTTTTCGACTTACAGATGGCGCATTGGTATATAAATACTTGAGTAGAAAATTACACTTCAGACATAATACATTCCAGAAACCCAATATACATATTCAATAATACAACAATAGTCTGCATAGTTCAAAAATTTTATAAGAATTTAATAAGAAAATTATTAATTTCTATAAAGATGGCCGAAAGATCGTCATCATTTTAAAAATTAATGATCAAAATATTTTATTATTTGGGTGGTCTACATACATATTTATAGTTGGTCATCATTATTTTTAGTCCATCAAATTTAAAATATTTTTTGATATCAAATGGGATTGGAAATTTTATACTTAATTTTCTTTTCAAAATGGAGAATTAATTTAGAAAGTTTAATAGTTAATAGAAAATAAAAATAACTGTAAAATATGCAACAAAAAACTATGAATAGATTATTGTAATTTAGTGACCGTAACCTATTTCATACATATATTTTCTATTTTTAAAAAGTTTTACAAAATTAGATGCTTAGTTTGAGTTCAAATTAAGATAAGTTATACTTAAATTTTAATATGATTCTTTTTTGAATAGATTTTATGATGCTTTATGGTCAATAAAATTTTTTTATGAGCGAGCATAAAGTTCAAAAATAATTGAAAATTTCTGTTTTTTTGTTTTTTTGTTGCTTTGGCATAATTTGTCTTCATTCCTGAGTGCTTCAGTTTTCTTTTGTATAAAGTTTTGAATTCATGTCATAATCATGTGGTAATAAGTTTAGAGGCGAAAACTGTGTCTGTTTTTGTAATTAAGTAGTTATGGAATTTTTAAAAGTATATTTTTGGATTATATCATAGTTGGATTCTGTTAAGGTGTGGATAAGATTTTCAAAAATATTCAAAAAATATTAATGGTATTTAAAATTTTAATCAAAATATTAGAAAAAAGTAATAAAAAAAAATCGATTCTTACATCTTCATTTTGTTCCATTGCATTAATATCACGTATTAAACCGGTACCAGTTAATGCCATTGCTAATGTACTTGATGCAACACATATTAAACTAGCAACTAAAAATCCAGCACGTGATCTACCAACATTTATAACACCTAAAGCACCAGCAATTGCAGCAATACCACCAGACCATATACCAGAACCAGTTGTTGATAATGCCGCTTCTCTAAATAATAATAAACTGCCTAAAGCAACCAATGATACACTAAGGACTAGCTGTATAATACCCAATATTATAAATTTTGGAAATTCTCTTTTTGGTAATACCAGTTTCACTTTATGATGTGGTAATGTAGAATTTGATGATTTTTTTATATTTGATGTATTTTTATTACCATTAATATTATTTGTTGAATTATTTATTGTTGTTGCATTCTTTTTAGCTGTTTTTAACATTTCTAATTTACGTTTACCTTCTTCATCCAATGGTTTTATTGGTATTATATCTTCACGAAATTTTTTAATTGTTTTCTTTTCAGATCCTAATACTAAATCTGGACTCTGGTATATATGATGTTGAACTGAATCATTTCTACAAATACTATCATCATTATTATTACTATTCGATATCATTGATATTTGTGAATTTGTTAAACTATTTTTATTGCAATTTGTTGCATTTGTACTATTTTCCATAGCTGCTGTTTGTGCTTGTATATGATTTGTATTATTATTCTGTTGTTGTTTAATATTACGATCAACTATTGTTTCCATACTGGCTGCTGTTGAACCACATGAATCAATAGTTCGCGCCGGTGATTCTTTTTCACGATTTTCCATTTTTTTAAATCAATTTTTTCTTTTTCTACAAATATATTTCAGTTTTGTTTTTTCTTTTGAAAATAATTGGATATCTGAAATGAGAAAAATAATAAAAATATAATTATAATTTTTTGTAAATATATGTATAATTTATGTAATATTATTAATTAAAATAGTTTTATTATTAAATTGTAATTTTATGTCTCGATCAATTGAAATTTCCAATTTAATATGCAATTATGTTAGAGAGTAAAACTATAAAACTTGTAAGCCTTGATCTCTATGAACTGTATTAGTTTTTGTGATATATTTATTATAATTGGTTGGTATTTTTTCCAACCAGTATATTGTAAATATATTTTTGTTTTATTTGTATGTCGATTATTAAACTGATACTGATGTATTTTAATGTTTTTCAAAGAAAAAATAAAAATTATATTGTGATTTATTCAAAGTAATTAAAATATTTTCTTCAATGTTAAAATTGAAACAAATTTTAAGAAGAAAAATTTTAATAGAGAATTGGAAAATTTTTAATTTTTACATAGAATACATATTAGAATTTTAGTTTTATCCACTAGAATGAAATTAAGCTGTTCATAAATGTTCTTGTAATTTAAAAACTTTCTCTTGTTCGTTCCAATATTTCAAATGAGTTCTCAAAAACTTTACACTCATTAAGATAGAAAGCTGTAATTTTATACAGAAATTTTTCTGAAAGAAAAGTTATTATTTGTATTTATTATGTATGGTGTCTTAGTGTGGTGGCCGGTGCTGCGTACAGCTGTAAATCTCAAAATGATAAGCAAAATTCAAAGAATAGCAAAAGTATGTAAGTATTGGAAGGTTCTTGCACTCAAACTCTGCTCAGGCTCCTGAGATTCTCTTGCATATGGTGTCATTATATATACCGGGCCAGCGGATGGTTGTGAAATTCGCAGTACGATTGGGAGCCCATAACAGTGGTCGTTTAGCAACATGGGCAGATTTTTTACGTTTTAAACTAAATTTTAATCTTAAAATAAAATATTATAATATCTTATTCAATCTTAAATTTTAAATTTTTATTTTGCCACAAATTAAACAAATAGATTACATAAGTGCATAATTTACTCACGTCAAGATTCACTAAATTTTATGCATACACCTACATAAAAGCTTAATTACTCAAGTTACAATGATTAATTAAATTCAAAAAATAAAATGAAATTGTTGGAGAAATCCCTTTATAAAATCTCATCTTAAAACAAACATTTAGAAGAAATAAAACCTATATGACATTAATTTAGATTAGAAAATGCAACAATCTTGCTGTAGATCCCACTTTCTTTTATAGACACTTTAAGAGCTTTTATAAATTAAAATGCAAGTGAATTGAATAAAAAGAAAAGCATTTTTTTTGTATTTAATTTTTTTCCCATTCTAATCTTTAATTTTATATTTCTTTTTTTTTTTTGTAAGAAAAAAAAATTATGATAAAATAGCATTAAAATTTCTTTCGTTTTTTTTTTCCGAGATTAATTAATTTCATCCGATAATATATGAGAATGACATTATTGTATTCTTAATGATGACCTACATAAATTTTCATTCCGGATATTATAATATGATGATGATAAAAGTATAATCATACAAACATATTTATGTGCGGTGAATTCTTCACTTTTCGTTTGATTTTCGTGTTTAACCTATTCATATGACATTAGAATTAATTTATAATTTAAATTTTTTTATTTTTACATTTTTAATCTTATCCCAAAGTTAAAGGTTTTAATTTATTAGTGGAATATAGTATATTGTACACATGTGTGTATTGTGAATTTCTTATGTGCGCACACATTTGAGATATGAGATTTGAATTTCAAAAATTTTTATCGCACACATTGTTAGATGGCGTTTACATGGTTTTGATTTTTATTTTTTCACTTTTGACATACGAGTGTTATAAAAAATTCACTCAATTTGCTAATTTTAATGTAGAAGCATCGCTTAAGAGAATCTTTGTGGAAATTTCTGGAATTTCTGTTCGATATTTTGTTTTGGGTTCATTAGGATTTTTTCTGTTCGATATTTTGTTTTGGGTTCTTCAGGACAATTTTTCGTAACATAATATTTTGACATTTGCGTCGTACATGGCCATTACTAACAAAATGATTAGTATTTTAGTTGCTTGTTTAATTATGAGCCTCTCTATACTAATTAGACTATTAAGTAGGAAATAATTTTTTGTTTTTACTCTCCTTTTTCTAAAAATGAATGAAGTAACCTAAAATTTAGAAATTTTTATTTTAAACCATATTTTAATTTTCTATCCACCATTAATCCTACCTCTAATTTATGCCTTCCAACTATATTAAACTCCAATCACTAAAAATTATGTTTCAATAACAATTTTTTGAAGAATTTCTTATACTGCGATATTTTGTGAATTATACATAACTATAGTGTGCTTTATAGTTGGAGAAATGTGAAATGTACTCGATTTTCGACAAAAGTAAGAAATTTAAAATATTTGGCATGCTTTTAGGGGCAAATGATAGTAGTAGAATCGTGATAATAATTAATAGTACTAGAAGACCTGAACAACGTTCAAAATAAAATTCAGATATAAAAAGTAAATTACAAAAGAACTTGTTGTATGACATACTTGACGTATATAAAAATAAATTACTTTAGTTTAAATTAACAGTCCCTTTTCTTTAAATTAACGGTAATATAGTTAGAAGAACAATAATGTGAAATTAACTTTTACTATCATTAATGAAAGAAGTGAAAGTTTTTGTTTACAGTTTACAGAATTATTGTGAATATTTGAAAAATTAAAAGTAATTTTTTTTAAAGGCCCTTAAATTCAAAACAAACAAAATTACTAAAAATTTTCCTTAAGTACATACATATGAAAGTGTATACCCTCAATTGAAATTTAATTGTTATTGTAAATTATTTTAATAATTATTTTACTTAAAAATAAATAAAAGTGCGTAGACATTCACAATATTACCTACATACATATACACACGTATATGAGAAAAGTACTACTTCTTAAGGGACCGCATACATGACTTGTTGTTTTTTATTTTTGATATTTTCTCTCTCTAATAAACATTTTCTTTTCAATTAAATTTCAACTCCTACATGACTTTCAATATTCAGAAAAAATGACCATAAAATTCTTCTTATAACTAAAAGTACATGACGTTTATCGTTAGGCTTATGTGCACACTTTTAATATAACAAAAATTCCCACGTTTTAAAATATTTTTGCTCGTAAATTTATATTAAACAAACTTGTATACACATGTACAAATTTTCCTACATATAAAACACAGGGAAAATACCTACATATACACAATTAAAAATGACAGGTCACGTTTTTGTTTGATGTTTTATTCATATATTTTTTGGTGAATTCGGCATAGCAGTCAACCAGCGCAAAATATTTTTTTTTTTATTTTTGTTTTTGTTTTTCATTAAACATAATTTTTGTTTTCTTTTAATAATAATTTATAAACACGAGTTTTATTATCATAAAACATAAATCAAAGAGGAACCATATAGTATAACAACTTTCACGATTTATTGTAGGTTCGAATGCATCAATATTATGCATCATAAACAAAGATAAAAAATGTTTAATTGAAAAGAGAAAACAAATAGAAATATTGACACGTTTTTGAGCCGAAAATATTTCATATGAATTGGTAAATAAAATTTTTTGAAATTTAACGCTTAAAAGGTCCTTCCTAAAATGTAATTCTTACAGAATACCTGCATATATGTATATTCAGATTTCCAGAATTGTAGTTGAATTATTATCAGTCTTCATTTAACTTATAGCACTTAAAATAATTAAAAAATTTATACAACTTTTTGATAATAACTTAATTTGATCGTCTGATGATGTTGATGCATAAGATTATGAAATAGTGCTTTAAGCTTTGTTTCAAATTGCATGAAAGATTGAAAGTAGTCTTTTGGCTATGGACCTAGGAAAGGTAGATTAGGTTGTCGCGGCTCAACGAAGCGTACATAAGCTAACTAAGCCCGTTGCGGTACCGCTGGATCTCTTTTTCTCCGCTCCACAATCGAATCAGCCCGAACCTAGAAATATGTAAATTTGGTTTTTAGTATAAAATTATTTGCTGACATTTGATTCCTTCAAAAAAGTAGCTTGTTAAACAAAATTTCAAGAACATTCATTGATTATTTTTAAAAAAGAATTGAAAATGTAAAGTGAGCCCGTGGTAAAGGTTCAGTTCCTGTGATCTGACATATCCCAAAAATTGATAGAACCGCTCATAAATATTTCGATTTTTGGCGAAAATCGGTTTAGCCGAACTTGAGATAGATATAGACTAACAGACAGACACACAGAGGGACAGCTCTCTAAAACAGTTTATTTACGCTTCCCTACCATGGAGGAGTGTGTTCCCACCGAAAACACGACATGCGAATTTTAGTGCCATCACAAAAGCTCCCTTATTTTATGCAATGCGATCATTGAAAATCTGATTAGTATGTGATCAAATATATTGTAGACTACTCGTATTTACATTAGTCTAACAAAAGTATTACACCGCAGCAGGATACAACTAAAAAATTTCCTTCTCGAAAAGTTTTCAGAGAATAAATATTCCCTCAAAGAACAAAGCTGATATATAAAATTTCTAGAAAATTTGTTAATTATTGATTAGATATAAGTAGTAAAGTTCTTGGTTTTTGAAAATTGATGTGTCCCAAAAGAGGTACAATTCCTCGCTTGGCACACATACAAGACAATTTGAAAATATTGCGCTTGAAAATAATCTTTACTAGTGTTGAACATGAGGATGTTAGAGCTAGCTTTGAATTTCCAATGGAGAGCTAATTATCTACAGAAACTCAAGTTAATCAGTAATATTACAATTCAAGTGACATTTTTAAACACAAAATAACCTGATTCTGAATACATTGTACTCGTACACGTACAATATCGGACAAAAAATTCTATGTTTGAGTGTAATGTGTGACATAAAATTTATTGGTAGCTATATTAATTACTTTTAATTCCAAACATGATATTACACACTTTAATGCATAATTTT